AACACATAGATGGATGGATGGATAGATATATGGATAGATGAATAGATGGGTGGATGCATGTATAGATGGTTGTATATATGAATAGATGGTTGTATGTATGTATGGATGGATGGATGGATGGATAGATGGTTGTATGTATGAATAGATGGTTGTATGTATGGATGGATGATGGATGTTTCAGTGGCATGATGATTGTATGTTTGTATGTATGTATGTATATAGGGCTAGATGTATGGATGTATGTATGTATGTATGGATGGATGGATAGATGGATGGATGGATGGATGGATGGATGGATGTTTGATAAACACATAGATGGATGAACACAGATAGATGGATGAAGATATGGATAGATGGATGGCTGGCTGGGTGGATGAACACATAGACAGATGACCACATGAACAGATGGATGGAAGGATGGATGATTATATGGATAGATGGTTGGATGCATGTATAGATGGTGGTATGTATGTATGGATGGATAGATGGTTGTATGTATGGATGGACGAATGGATGGATAAGCACATGAATAGATGGATGGAGGGATGGATGAATGGCTGGGTAGATGAACACATGAATGGATAAACACATGGATAGATAGACCAATGGATGGGTAGATGAACACATGGATAGAGGGATAGGCAGATGGATGAGTGGATGAGCACATGGATGGATGAACACATAAACAGATGGATGGATGGATGAGATATATGGATAGATGAATAGATGGGTGGATGCATGTATAGATGGTTATATATATGAATAGATGGTTGTATGTATGTATGGATAGATATATGTATGTATGGATGTATGGATGTATGGATGGATGGATGGATGAATAGATGGATGGATGGATGGATGTTTGATAAAGACATAGATGGATGAACACAGATAGATGGATGAAGATATGGATAGATGGATGGCTGGCTGGGTGGATGAACACATAGACAGATGACCACATGAATAGATGGATGGAAGGATGGATGATTATATGGATAAATGGTTGGATGCAGGTATAGAAGGTTGTATGTATGGATGGATGGCTGGGTGGATGAACACATAAATGGATGAGCGCATGGATGGATGAACACATAAACAGTTGGATGGAGGGATGGATGGATATATGGATAGATGAATAGATGGGTGGATGCATGTATAGATGGTTGTATATAAGAATAGATGGTTGTATGTATGGATGGATGGATGGATGGATAGATGGTTGTATGTATGAATAGATGGTTGTATGTATGGATGGATGATGGATGTTTCGATGGTATGATGATTGTATGTTTGTATGTATGTACGGATGGATGGATGGATGGTTGTATGTATGAATAGATGGTTGTGTGTATGGATGTATGAAATGGAATTCATCATCACATCCTCCATTCCCATCTCTTTGCATGCCATGCGTGAGCAACAGAGAACAATGCGATGTGCAGAGTAAATCATCGTCTGTCGACTCTCCACCCTTAAAGACCTTTACTCATCTAGGATGAAGATGATGGCAGGAGAATCACATGCCGGTCACTCTTTCTTTCAGCGGTTTCCATCTCAGCGGAGGCTGAGAGTGAGAGCCCTAAAGAGTCTGAACAACCGTCATCTCCACAGCTTCTTTACCCGAACCATCATCCTCCTAAAGAGGGAGCCTCCTCACATCCCTCTACTTTGAATTGCTGCACATGCACTTTAATACACATATCCACTGTATATACCAGACCATAATCCTTCAGAATAAGAAGCTTTCCCACTTTACTGTAGTGAGTGCACATATTCACTTTAACCTACTGCAGTATACAAATTTGTATATTGCAATTGACGAATGATACATTCTACAGTCCTACCATAGATATGAGTTTATTTCTGAGCTGAAGTGCCAGCTGTCAGTCTCACTCTGACAGGAACTTTGGGGGGGGGCGGAGTTAAAGCTCTTCACACTGAGCCATATCTGGGGCTGTCACTTCACCGTGTACAACTGTCATACTCTATCCACTCTGCAGCCTGACGGACTTTACCCAGAACGTGTGTGACAACTTCACCACGACTTTGAAAAGACCTTCCAGCACTCAGAAAAGCCCTTCCAGCACTCAGAACACTCAGCCATAAGACGACGACACACACTCCCTGACTTGTGTACTTAAACAGGGACAGGTTGACCCTCACAGTTCCTGAGATAACTTTGAGAAGACCTTAAAGAACTTCTGTCCCCCCAAACACTCACTCTAAATCACTCCGCCACACTCAGTCCTGTCTCTCTGCCTCAGGTCAAACACCACTCAGTCTCGAGTGAACATCCACTGTGCCTTTCAACTAACTGTGAAGAAAACAAACTTGAACCTGACTTGACTCCAGCTGTGGCGACGGTAAACATGATGCTGAACTCCAAAGAGATGTGAAAGTTTTACTGATGTTCCTAATAACCATTTTATTAATGCATCACGATTCTATAGTAAATACAACTTTAGACATCATCCTATCGCACAAGGTTCTCTTAACGAGACACTCTGACCTAAAACTAGATTTTAATATGTAATTTGTAGGGCTGTCAAATGATTACAGTGAATAATAGTGATGAATCACATTTCGTTTGTTGAAGTCCATCAAGATTAATCATCCTATTTGCTCTAATTTGTCCCTAAAGAAAGTGTGAGATTAATTATTACCTTCAATAATTCAGCTTGAACTGGAATGTGCATATTTGGAATTGCATATGGCAGCATAGTCTGACTGTCCTCTGGTGCAAGAGGCTCAAATTCGAACTGAATCATTCCACTTTAAGTAGAGAATCGGCTGCATTAAGGTTGACTGGAAAATTCAAATAAAAATCCAGCCTTAGCTTTGTCTCCAATGCTAACATTACTGGTATTACTGATACTGCCACATTCCCTACAGTATTCAGCATGTGCAAAAAACAAAAAAAGTCTAAAATGCCCCTTTAAAGCCCCTCTCTACTCATTTTCATCATTTTCTCCGAACTATTATCTGTTGTTTCATGATGTTTTTATTATGAACTGGCAGAGAAAAATGCTGTTGGTCTTTTCTGTTGACAGATTTTTTTTTAAATGACTTTTTCTGCTGTTTTCTTCTGTTTGATTTGAGTTAGGCGGGACCAAAGGTGACATCAGATATGACCGATCAGTACCAACCATATGTATACGTCATCTACTTGTGCTCCTCTCCCTCACATATGGTCACTAATCTCCCTGCTGCTCCCTGAGTCCCAGACAAAAGTCCCAGCAAGCAGGTTATTTAAGCTTTGTTAACAGTGCTTGTCTTAAGGTTTGTTACACCATTCTTTGTGCACAGCTAGACGCTGTTTCACCATTTTTCTTGCGGGGGGCGCTCAAACACATAGGGCTGAACCACATTGATTGGTGGTGTTACTCACCACTGGAGCCTGGTTGTTAACAATGCCTCTGAGACATCACTGTCAATCATTTTGCGTCCTGACACACCCATACAGTTATGCACAGGCAGCAGCTGGGAATTTTTAGAGCATTTATCTACTATTAAACTGTATTAATTTATATATATTTCTTGAATGTAACTGGTAATTCCTTTTTTGTGGCACATCTTTACTGCTAAAACAAAAACAAAAACATTTGAAACCATGTTGACAGGGGCTTTAAGCGCTATATCACGTTATAAAATGGCCTAAAACCGGAGTCACTGTCATGCTGTGCAGTATTCTGCAGCACAGCATTATATGGATTAGCCTCATTGCTTCGACCGAATCAATGGATTTACATCATTTTCACATTTTTGATCATCAGTGATGTTGCCCAGCATGCAAATACATCATATAACCTTTGGGAATCCCTGCGGTTTCACCCACCCAATCCTGACTGCTAGCACAGCCACTGATATATAGGCTAATAAACGTGACCAAGCTAGCACTACTGTAACTCTTACCTTGACTGATGAACAAAATCATAAAAAACAGTGGTTATATCTTTATTTAACACAAAATGGAAACTGGAGGCAAGTCTTTTACTCTTTAGCCAGAAAAAAGGGGCCAAACTAAGGTTATATCTAGATGGCCAGATAGCATAAAGTTAGCTCCATTGCTAACTTTACCTTGTCATCCTTATCTGACAAGTCATCGTTTTAGTACCCAGTTCTCTCCACTGAAATGATGATTTAAGTTTTCACCAGCTAACGGATAAAAAATACACATTTCAAAATAGTCAGTCCCTAAAAAATCCACCCCAAAGCAGATGCAGCTTTTCTAGTCCCTCCACCCTTCAGGATACATCATCAGAAGGGGGTCCTTAAATAAGAAAACTGCCCTCTAGGAACTAACATGGTACCAGTATAGGAGGCGAGTGGGCTTGTCTACAACAGATGGTTATGCTTTTGTGTCCTTTTAAAACAATATGAATAATTATACTATAAATTATGTGTAATAATAAACGGTTGTAGCCTGGTTAGCCTTGCTTGACCAGTGTAAGGGATTTTTCTCCTTGGCAAGTTTCTCTGTAAGGTTTGCTGGTACCTCTGAATCTGGTTGGTAGACCAGATGGCTTTCTGTAGGCTTCACACAAAGCAGCAGAAGTATTTTACACTGGAAATGCTGGAACTTTCTCATATCTCCTCACACACCACAGATAAAAATCTCATAACATGACCTTCAAAAATACAACTCAAAGTCTTTATCACGACAGAATCCAAAGGTCAACCTCTCGGCTCTCTCTGATAGCTTACAATGGCTTGAATGGCACACATGCTCGTAAGTATCTATAAGTAACTATGCCATTCATTCTGTGATTCTCTTCATGCACCAGTGTTGTGCTCCTGTGCCACACAGGTTCCTGGAAGACTTCAAGGTAAACGTTCCTGTAACCTTCGCCATCTTTCAAATGCATCTCACTTTTGAAGAAGTGACAGTGTCATCGATTAGTGACTGACCAACACAGTTTTTCAACGGACCACAATGAGGAAGAAAGCAACCTTCACGCCACTTCACTCTCTTTTATCACACACTTCCATTCACTCAGTACCTTCAGCACGTCCTCGTCTGTTGAGCTGCAGTCTGTGAAGTCCGAGACATCAGTAACGGATCCGTCTGTCTCCACGGCGACTGTTCTGACTGGCACCACCACCCGCTTACCGGTCAACACTGCCGTGTTCATCAGCTCAGTGTCCTGCATACAGAGGTCAAAGGGTTCAATCCCAGCCATATACAACACCATATACTGGGTTTAATGACTGCGTTGACCCTTTCCTCAATTCAACATGCATCACTTTTTCCATTCAAAACTAGAAAAATGAAATGTTATCATATAGTTTACATTCTATAGCACATATAACAATACAAATAGAATATACTGATATACACACTATATGGACAAAAGTATTGGGACACACCAGGTGTTTCATTCAGTTTCATCGCTACAGGTGTATAAAATCAAGCACCTAGCCATGCAGCCTGCCTTTACACACATTAGTGAAGGAATGGGTCGTTCTAAAGAGCTCACTGAATTAGAGTGCGGTTATGTAATAGGATGCAACAAATCAGTTTGCGGAATTTCTTCCCTTCTAGATGTTCCACGATCAACTGTGAGTGGTATTGTTTAAAAGTGGAAGCGTTTAGGAACCACAGTGACTCAGCCACAAAGTAAAGTTACAGAGCAGGTCGCCGAGTGCTGAGGAGCATAGAGCATACAAGACACGAACATCGTGCTGATCAATAACTGCAGAGTTCAAACCTCCTCTGGCATCAACATCAGCACAGAAACTGTGCCAGGAGCTTCATGGCATGGGTTTCCATGGCCGAGCAGCTGCATGCAAGCTTTATTCTGTGGAGTGATGAATCGCGCTTCTCTATCTGTCAGTCTGATGGACGAGTCTGGGTTTGGTGAATGCCAGGAGAACGTTACCTGCCTGACTGCACTGTGCCAGCTGTAAAGTTTGGTGGAGGAGGGATGATGATATAATGCTATGGGGTTGTTTTTCAGGGGTTTGTCTAGAACCCTTAGTTCCAGTGAAGGGAAATCTTAATGCTTCAGCAGAACAAGACATTTTGGACAATTCTATGCTTCCAACTTTGTGGGAACAGTTTGGGGAAGAACCTTTTCTGTTCCAGCGTGACTGAGACCCAGTGCTCAAAGCAAGGTCCATAAAGTCATGACTGGGTGAGTTTGGCGTGGAAGAACTTCACTGACCCTCAAAGAGCCCTGACCTCAACCCCATTGAACACCTTTCAGATGGACTAGAATGGAGATTGTGAGTCAGGCGCTTTTGTCCAACATCGGTGTCTGACCTCTCAAATGCTGTTGTGTAAACTGGCGTGACATGGTGGTGCAGCGGGTTGCGCTGGGTTGAAGTCCCCGACTGGGCGACCAGAGTTCTTTCTGTGTGAAGTTTGCATGTTCTCCCCGTGTCTGCGTGAGTTTCTTCCCTCAGTTTCAAACACATGCAGTCAGGCCAACTGGACATGCTAAACTGCCTCTAGGTGTAAGTGTGTGTGTCTGTTTCCCCTGTGATTGACTGGCAACCTGTCCAGGGTGTTTCCTGCCTTCTGCCCAGTGGCTGCTGGAATAGGCTCCAGCAACCTCACCCAGAAGGATAAGCAGCTTAAGTAGTGTGTGTGTGTGTGTGTGTGTGTGTGTGTGTGTGTGTGTGTGTGTGTGTGTGTGTGTGTGTCGTTGTCTAAACTCTGCATGTCGGTTAACGTGCCGAAGACAAATCTGCACTGAAAGGAGATGCTAAAAGGCTAACCTGTGAAAGGTCCTTTGCCTCTCTTACTCTTACATCTCAGAAACTTGAGTTAGTGCACAAACAAAATGTTGTAAAAGCTAAATTTTGACAAAAAGCATGTTTGGAAAATTTTCTGCAAACTAGAAGTCAGCAACATCTGACAGGTTTCTGCAGACCTTCACCATTTAGCACTTATTTATGGGCGAATTCGTTCAAAACCTTTCACATACGTACTTAAAATGATGATTCTGCAAGGGTTCTTTAGTAAAGAAAATGGTTCTATATAGAATCATAAACACTCAAAGAACTGTTTGCATGAATAATTGATGGAAAATGTGTTGTATAGGATTTTATACAGAACCTTTTTGAAAATGGTTCTATATAGCACCAAAAAGGGTTCCTATGTTGTAAAAAGCCTGCCATCGTAACAATAGAAGAACACTTTTTGGTGCTATATAGAACCATTTACAACACTTTCTCCATTAATCTGAAGAACGCTTTCACCATAAAAAAGAACGCTTTAATCATGCAAATATTCATGGTTCTATACAGAACCATTTTCTTTACTAAAGAACCCATTTTTAAGCATGTAATATGAAAAATTCCCATTTTTTTGCTCTTTTCCTGAATGCATTTCCACTTTCAAAACTCATCTGTTCACTGAGTGGATCAAGGTCATGAAGTTTTGGCTTCATTTTATGCAAATACTCCAAATAGTAACTTTTCAAAAAAACTTATCTTTGAATGGAGGTCAATGGAACAAGTAATTCTGAACATTTTCTGTTGTTCCATTTAGTATGAGATTTTGACATTAAGGGCAGATGGCATTTTTATACTAAACTAATTATTAAGAAGACAAAAATCGACATATCAATTTTTCCAACAGTGACAAAATATGCATATTATTGTTTTGTGGTATTAAACAAGCCACTGCACCGTTCACTGTATAATAACCCTTAGATAAAAACGTTCTGTTAGCATCACAGTGTGGTTCTAACACTGGATAGCAGATTTCCTTTTCTTAACGCCTTGTACGAGTGCATTTTAGGACAGAACCCATCTGCCCCGCACCCATACAACCTTGATTACAAACAAAGTGCCGTGGGCATGTCATTCTCTTTAGAGGTAAAAGCAGGACGCTCCGAGGCATAGGTTGGGATTAAAGCCTAAAAAGGTTTATTAATAATCCTCTATTGTGTACCCAGGGAACGTGGAGCTCCAGTGGCGCAGGTCAAATCTCTCATGACCTTTATAGTTTGTGACAGATGCAACTGGATGACCAGACTGTGGAACAGTTTTTGTAGATCAAACGTCACTTTATGTCAGCTTAGTTCTTGTACGAGACAACCGCAAGAGCAGGACAGTCCAACAGTTCCAAAAGCAGGAATATGCTAGAAATTAGAGGTCAGGCAGAACATAATGACCACCTCCTTGTTTCTACACTCATTGTCCATTTGATCAGCTCCACTTACTATATAGGTGCACTTTGTAGTTCTACAGTTACAGACTGTAGTCCATCTGTTTCTCTGCATACTTTGTTAGCCCCCTTTTACCCTGTTCTTCAGTGGTCAGGACCCCCATGGACCCTCACAGAGCAGGTACTATTTGGGTGGTGGATCATTCTCAGCACTGCAGTAACACTGACATGGTGGTGGTGGTGTGTTAGTGTGTGTTGTGCTGGTACGAGTGGATCAGACACAGCAGTGCTGCTGGAGGTTTTAAACACTGTGTCCACTCACTGTCCACTCTATTAGACACTCCTACCTTGTCAGTCCACCTTGTAGATGTAAAGTCAGAGACGATAGCTCATCAGCTGCTGCACAGTTTGTGTTGGTCATCCTCTAGTCCTTCATCAGTGGTCACAGGACACTGTTGGCTGGATATTTTTGGTTGGTGGACTATTCTCAGTCCAGCAGTGACACTGAGGTGTTTAAAAACTCCAGCAGCACTGCTGTGTCTGATCCACTTTGTATACCTGCCAAAATCTTACCAGGTTAATATCGGTACACAGTAAATGCCTTATGTCATTAACGTTCAGGGAAACATTAAATGCTTTGCTAAATGCCATTTTGAGCTATTTTGTCCTGATATTTCTGTTTCCATATTCTGCAGCTGAAATGACTCGTGTTTTCAGATGCAGAAGGGTGTTTGGTATTTTGCTGTATGTTTTCTGATCTGTTATGTTTCCCATTTCTTTAATCCAGCTGTATGTTCCAGAGCAAAATCGCAATGATCAGACCCAAATCTGTGCGTTTGGCCCCCAGCCCAGGGTCACCACCTTATCAGCTGGACAGATGAAGCCGTCACATTTACAAGCTCAATCATGATCCTGAGCTCCTGCTCCTCTCCTGAGGCGACCTCATCTTTCAGCGCAGTCACATGGCCTGACTGGAGCTTCAACACTGTAAACATCCATCCATCCATCCATCCATCCATCCATCCATCCATCCATTTATCCATCCATCCATCCATCTACCTATCTACCCACCCACTCACCCACTATCTATCTATCTATCTATATATCTATCTACTTGCCCACCATTCCATCCATCCATCCATCCATCCATCCATCCATCTACCTATCTACCCACCCACTCACCCACCATCCAACTCATCTATCTATCTATCTATCTATCTATCTATCTATCTATCTATCTATCTATCTACTTGCCCACCATTCCATCCATCCATCCATCCATCCATCCATCCATCCATCTACCTATCTACCCACCCACTAACCCACCATCCAACTCATCTATCTATCTATCTATCTATCTATCTATCTATCTATCTATCTATCTATGTCTGTCTGCCTGTGTCTATCTGTCTGTTTATCTATCTATCTATCTATCTATCTATCTATCTATCTATCTATCTATCTATCTATCTATCTATCTATCTACCTGCCCACCATTTCATCCATCCATCCATACATCCATACATCTATCCATCTATCCATCTCTTGTACTAAGGGCAGAGCTGTCTATCTATCTATCTATCTATCTATCTATCTACTTACTTGCCACCATCCCATCCATTCACCTATCCATCCTTCCATCCATCCATCCATCCTTCCATCCATCTATCTATCCATGTATCTCTTGTACTAAGGGATGGGCTTCTATCTCTCTAAACACAGTAATTTAAAAAGTGGAGATCACAGACTTTTAGAGAGAGCAATTACAATCATGTTCACACGTCTGCAAAGTAAATCTGTCCAATCCTTCGAGCACTGAGGCGTCCCCCTAAAACAGGATGTTCTCTCCCTCTGGTGACGTCGTCCGCTGCAGATTACTGCTCCACAGCGCTCACAGCTGATCAAGGCCTCCACACAGATTTTCCCCAGATTAATTGTGCTTTTGAAGGAGCTAACGACTAACATATTACCGTAATGATGCTCTAAAGTTGCAGCCAGAGTTGGACACGCAGTAAATCATTTCATTGTTTGCAAAGCAGACAGTTGCATAACAACATTTCATGCTAATATCGCTGAATCTGCAGGGGTCGCATGGTAACGGGTGCTAAATATGGCTCAGTGTGAGATGACAGGTGAGAGGTCTGTGTGACGTGAGAGCTTCAGTGCAACGGCATGAAAGAGATTACACCTGTGAAAGACGTGTGAGTGTGAGTGGAGGTATGTGTGCGCGCCTCTCACAGGTGCGTTATGCAAGACGTCTACTAACAGATATGTTAGAGGATCTGGAGAAAAGCTTGACGTTGCTCCATGCGGCTTGTTCGTCACACTGATGGCACCTATAACACTGTCGTTATAAATAGGAAACTAATCATCTGCGCAAGAAAGGACGAGATCCTGCAGGTTAGCAGTGGCAAAAACAACACGCTCGACAAGAGAGTGAAATTGGGTATCTGGTTGTAATTCATGATGTTTGGTGAACAGCTCTGCTTAGTGATTTTGTCTTCTGCAGCTTCATGTAATTAAGAATTGATTGATAATCAATAGAATTAATAGAACACAGTTGTCAACTGGCATGTCAATTCTACACACTTGTTTATGTAAAGAAAGCTGCAGTTTGGCCGTTTTATCCCTTTATAGGTTTCACGCCTTCCAATGGATCCGTCAACCTAACAAACTCCAACTCCCAGAAGTCTTTTGGAGATCACATGACTGTTCCACCAAGTGTTTTTTTCTTGTATTGTCCTTTTTGTGTATTGAACCATCTTTTCGGGATTTACGACTCTGTCTTTCGTCTTTGCCCCTTTTGGTCTTGTTTGCCTGCTTTGTAATATTGTTCTTGTGTATTGATTGTTTTGGATTTAACCCACGCCTGTTTTTTGACAACGAGCTTGGACTCCACGTTAATCAGTAAAGCCTTTTCTTCTAAGCTTATTCGCGAGCGTCTGATCAGTTCTGTGGCGTTACAGTAAGTGTGAGTAATTTTACAGCAGGGGGTTCACACCCCTCCATTTTCACTCTTACTGCTCACTAGCAGCTCAACACAGAGTCACAGCATTTCACACGCAGAGCTAACAGCGTCCATTTAAGGCGGAACAGGAAAACTCAAACAAGAAGCTGGCGAATGAGAAGCAACTTCAGCCTCGTTAAAAAATCGAATTCTTCTACTTTTGGAAAGTTTCCTGCTGGAGATGCGAGAAAAGCAGCTATAGCTGAAGCTTAAAGAAGAGTAAAGTAAGTCTGTGTTTTCATTTATTTTAAATTTGTTAGCTTATACTAGTACATCAGCACATACTGAGACATATTTACAGCCAAGATGGTAAAATGGACATAAAATATTGTGGCTCCCAAGGTGGTTTGACTTTTGCTGAAAGGACAAAATGGCTCTTCTTAACATTTGGGTGGCCAAACCCTGTTCTAAGGCCTTAATAATTAATATAATACAATTATATGTTTATTTTTGCACCCAAATGTCCCCTCAGTGATAAAAAAGCACTCCCATCTGCCTTATTATCAATGTAAACAGGCAAAGTAAAGAAATAATGTTAAAATCTTTAGGTTTCACCCACCATGACCAGAGGAGCCAAGCCAACGAAGTCTCTCTGGGTGGTATAGACCCTCATGAGGCCCTCGGAGGCCCCCAGCATTTTCACATCATCGGGAAGGGCCAGTTCCCACTTAATCACCTGGATCTCTGATTGGCTGCTGACATCCTCCACCTCAAAATCCATCTGCAGGATCGCCTGGAGTTTGCTGAGCCTGCAGGGGAGACAGTCGTGCTTACTGGACAATTTGTCTTAAATAGTACAGAAAAGTACAGAAATAATACAGTTCAAGAACTTAAATCTGTGAGGTTGATGCCATAAAAGCATTTTTAAACTTAACAAAGTCATTGAATCCATATCTAGGATGGATTCTGTTGAGGTAGGGAGTCATTGTCACGGGTTTGTTCTGACATATGACACATTTAAACATTGTTTCATGTAAAAAACCTACAAACTCGCCATTTTTGCATGTTGGCTGTCAAACGGCATCATAAGATTGGATATTATGCATTTAATGATGGTAGTTCATTCACATTGCAATGTGTGTCCAGGAACATAAAATCTCCACCACCCATTTTTAAATAAAAAACAAGAAAAACTTTAAATAAGTAAAGAAGAACAAAATAATATGAATCAATGACATCAGTTTTGGGAGTGGACAGCTTTCAAACCCAATACAGATTGCATGCAAGGTCATTTAAAGTGACCCCCTGGCCACTATTTCCAGGTGAAGCAGAGATCTGATCTCTTGACTGCATCTACTGCTTTCAGTATATGACCTGCAATTCCAGAAAAAAATGGATTCTGCAACTATTAATAGCTTTACCCACAAATTGGATAATTCTAATATCCTATTCTAGGCCCTGACTTCACACCTAACCATATTGCATTTCATTAGAGCTAAATGAAGACTTAAGGCTCAGTCTAATCCGCAAATAAATTATATTTTCAGTTATCAGTTTTTACTGTGAAGTTTCAGAGAAAACTTCTGCAGCGAGAAACTCCAACTAGCTGTTTGGCGAGCCAGCCAGGAGCAGAACCTACAGTAGACCTGGCATGTAGTATTTGTTTTCTCCTTTGGCCAATTATATCTGCAAATAAATCATGTCTTCCATCATCCCATGAGTAATCGGTGTTTACTGTAAAGTTCCAGACGAAGCCTCTGCATCTATCATAACAGTTTGGCGAGCCATCCAGGAGCAGATCCCACTGTAGGCTTGACGTGTGGAGGCTGTCCTCTACATTGGCCAATTTCGTCTGCAGATATACCATATCTTCCACACATCTACAAGTTGTCAGTGTTTACTGAGATGTTCCCAATGAAGAACTACAGTGAGAAACTGAGGTCTTACAGTTTTGGCAAGCCAGCCATGAGCCAAATCTGCTGTGGGCCAAACGTGTTTGGGCTGTTCTCTCTTTTTGAGAACTGTACCTAAAAATAATTCATATTCTCCATCAATCTATGAGTTTTCCTGAAGATCCAAAGGGAACTAATGCAACATTCTGATCAAACAGCACTATGAGGATTTCAAAAAGCAAACCATCTAATATATAACAAGCTCTAGGTAAAAGAACCGGGTTAACCCTCTCAGGTCGACGATGTCGTATACGGCATCAAAGGATGTCATACATAAAAGAATAAACATCTTGAGGACACTGTATGCTACAGATTTACTTTCATTTTAAGGAAGACTATGTTTTGCCTTTTCAATGTGGGCTCCTTTGCAATCCAGTCTTGAACTGTACTGTCTTTTCAGAGATTTTGTAGAATAAATCCAACACTGAACATCTTCAGTGACTATTTATCTGTTTCTCTGTGTTGAAAACAGTAATTGTTGTTATTAGCAGGGCTGATAGCCATCCAAGTATGCCTTCGGTCGAGTCTGTCGACCAATCAGATGCTGTGTTCCTCACTTGTTTGCTGAACAATGCTGCCTTTCTGGGCAAAATGAAAGTGCATCTCTAGCATCCATCGTTCATCAAATATTTTTTCTTTTATCCACGACGTCCTTTGATGTCGCATACGACATCAGCGACCTCAGAGGGTTAAGAACCAAGAAATCCAAACTCTAGCACAACAAGAGCCGAGTAACTTAGTGAAAAATGGTTTACGGCTCAAAGTGCCCAATAAAAAGATCAATTTGCAAATACTGCTATCAAAGAATCCAATCTGTCTGATGGCAGATGAAAAGAGTTAGATTTAAAATAAGAACTAGCCATATACTTTCATGTCGATGTGCACCTAGGAACGAAATGGAGGCTTTAAAATCACGCGCAGCTTAGTCGATCACCCTATCACTATGCCATATCATTCCCCCACCACATCCACATCAATCCCCTCTCTATTCACCATAATACTTTCAATAGGACTCGAGTTCCTCTATAATCTGATTCATCTGTCTCAGATCTTTCAGCTTTAAAACACAGCTTTCAAGCTCCGGGGATCAGCCGAAAACGAGTTCAAACGCCTCTTTTGTGTGGACCGCATGTATGAGCATACGGGTTTGTGTGTGTGCATGTATATTTAGCATAATGGAGCTGTGAATATAAGGTTATTAAACTAGTGTTGGCGGCACTTAATGAAGTCAGCAAGTCTATTTATTGCACAGCCCAAGTTCTCCAATTCATTATGAACACACTTTGCATATTGAGAAGGCATTTTAAGGAAACCTTAAACCGAGAATTTGATCTGAATGAATTGGTGCTCCACAGTATGCATTACTAGCATAAAAAAGAGAAAAGATTCTTAGTTTTATTCAGTCAATTTCAGCTCAACTAGTTGCATAAAAACCCTCAGAAATAGGGGGACACTTTATTTTGAGTCGTCCTTTTTAGATGAAACAAACACTCAACAGACTCTCAGTAACATGTCAAGAACATATGAGGTTTAGGATTAGGTTTTGGGTTGAGGTTAAGGTTAGGGTTATGACTAGGGCCAGGGTTAGGATTAGGTTTTGGGTAAGGTTGGGTTTTGCGTAATGCAACACTTTAACAATACATCTAATTAATGTAATAATGTATCGACAGAACATCTACAAGATATTTACTTTGGTGTACTCAGAGCCGTCAGTACTGATACTTCACTGATATGTTGTTTATATGTTACAAATAATCTGTTGAGTTTATTCATCATCTACAAAGAACCACTCCAAATAAAGTGAAAAGAGTAGAGAAACTACACTGCAAAAAATGGTATCTTGTCAAGGGAAACAATCTTAAATCTAGTCTGTTTCCCTTTTTGAGTTGGCTGCACTTATTTAGCTCATTTCAAGACAATTTTTACTTGTTTTAGGTCATTTTATCAAGTGATCTTACTATACTGGCTGGTTTCAAGCACATTTCTTACAACAAGCAAAATTATCTGCCAATATAGTGAGACCATTTTACTTAATACAATTATTTAAAACACTATAAAATGTCTAGTAATAAGATAAATAATAAATTAAATATACAACATCCACATATAGATACCAATATTAGATTTATTGACTATGTTTAAGATGACATTTCTGGCCTGTAATAAAGTATATTAATTGTATTTCTTAACAAAACCTCTGAATGGAGTAATTATAAACAATCTACATGTGTACAGTAACCTGTAGTTATGTAAACGGAAGTGCCTGTACAAATATTGTTTTTGCTATTATATGTATTATATCATTTAAAATGAGGAAAAAACTGAAAAACCTTTTGTTTGCATGAATAAAACACTGTATGATCTTTGCTAATCTTTGCTAAGCTTATGCACTCAGATGTATGCAGAGTTAATATTTGGACCAGACCCAGTTTGTGTGTTCCTCTTTAAACGGGTCAGTCTGACACGATTAAGTCGATATTCAAACATGACAAACAAACAAAATAAGAACCCAAAAAAAGAACAAAGCAGAATTAAAAACAAGGACTATCCGGATTTGGGTGAAGGTCTCTTCCAGCCCCCTTTTGGGACACCATTAAACAGGATTAGTCTGCTTTAATCCTGCATTACAGGAGAAAGATTCCCCAAAAACGCACCACGGCTTTACGGTCTAAGTGGCTGGAGGCAGCCGAGACTCTGGGGGAACCTATTGTTGGGGTGATTCATGGCCCCCCCAAAAAGGGCACTCACAGTAGGCAGCCCCTGCAGGGGGGTAACTTGCAGGCTGTTTTGGACGGATTATGGAGTAGTTTACACAACGCAAATATGCCTTTTAAAAGCATTTTGGTGAACAAGGGACCCTAATCCCAGATATTGGGAGAAAACAAGACCAAAATGAGGTTGACAAGGCCAGAGTCCTCAAAGACAGACCCACACCGGCTGCTACTGAATGACCATGACCTTCGGTGTAATCTTAAGCTCCTCCAGTCCATGCCCAGCTTGGTGCCCATGGAGGTCTCAAACGTCAAGATAAGCCCTCTCCTGAGAGACGCTCAAATTGGGATGCTGTAATTTCAATCAGTGTGATAGCAAAAGACTGTAATTGGCTGATGAGGCATATTGTTGGGGATTCCGCCAGGCAGGAACACGGATAATATCAATATTGTGCTACACAAACCAGAGAACACATGGTTGACCTCAGTTGAGGTCAAGGTACTCACATTAAACAGGAATAGAAAGGGGAACTCAGGCTGGCTTTCACTAAGAGGATCACTCAGGTATTCACACAAACACACTGACACACGAACGGACGCAAGTGTCTTCAAAGGTGACTCAACAAATTCCTTCAAGTCTTTTTCATTTGTCATATGTACAAAATGCCAAGGACATCCGTACACTGAGCTGCTTGTGATGAGGCTCAGGTGATTACGCTCTACAACTGTACAACACAATATATACCGAAGAGAAGAAAGTCGTATATAAAGTTTGTTGCTCCTGGTCTCTGCACCAACTACTGTTTATATGCTGAATGTAACATATTGGAAAAATGAATTACTAAAGAGTCACCTGTACAAAAGTTAAGGCATATTTTACCTTTTATCTTTTATTCTTTTCTGATGTGTTAAACAGAACATGCTAAAAAAAACTGTGCACTAAATTTGTAGAAAAATACCATATTTAAGTTCCCTGTAGAGCCCATGTGTCAAACACAAGGCCCACAGGCCAGATCAGGCCCGCCACACAATCCTACCCGCCCCGCAAAGGTATTTTAATTTTCTATTAATATTAGCCTGTTTCACAATGCACTGCACTACAGTCCCCAGCATGCACTGCAACGTAATGTGTGCTCTGACTCTCCTATCTCAACAACAATCTATGGGACAGCAGTTACACCTCAGACTGCAGTTCAACCAATATAAACACTGAACGTCAGCTCAGCAGCTCAGAAACCGAGCCCAAGTCTTGAACTTGCAGCAAAGAAAGGATGCCAGGTGTCTGGTTCAAGCAAACAGGTAGGTTTAAAAGGCTGACTTCCTGGGGACGTTTAAATTTTGAATATTTAAGTATTTAATTTAGTATTTAATTTAGTATTTAAGTATTTGTGTAATTTTTCAAGGTCTACTACAAGTGTCTGTATTTTACTGTTAATGTTTTTGCTTATTTTGAATAAACAATGGCGAGTTCGGGCTACAGCACAGCATTAATTAAAAATGAAATGAATTTTTTTTTCTATGGCTCACAGATCAACAAAAACGACCAGGGATGCCCAAACTTTTGCATTCAATTGTATACAGAGAACTATATATGCAAAAAGACACTGACAATCCGGTTAACAAATAAAAATATTTACATTTATGGAAGATGCTCTTATTCAGAGTCACTTACAATGTGTTCATTTTACACAGGTTGGTGAAGGTGGTGTTTGAAGTCTTGCCCAAGGACTCTTACTGGTATAGTGTAGGGTGCTTACCCAGGCAGGGGATCGAACCCCAGTCTACAGTGTAGAAAGCAGGGGTGTTACCTGCTACACCAAAGCAACCACTACAAAATAGTTAGTATAGTTTCATAATGAATATTATGTAACATGAACAAATGCATAGTTGTGCAAACAGCAGTGGTGTAGTATATAGTCCTAGACTTATAAATAAGTATGCATAAGTAAGTATCCATAGTAATGTCTATGACCAAAAAGTGACAGGTGAAAAACAAAAACTGTCTGTGAACTGGAAAGTAAAACATTGTTCAGTTTAGTCGATGTCCAAAAAATCATTTGGCCACATTTCGTGATGAATGGACCAACTGAAATGGCCCAAAATCACTTGGAATGAAATCTCTTTGCATTAACTTACACTAGAAGTTAAGAGCATGTTTTGCTTTCTCCTATAAAGTTGCTATTTTGTAGAAATAGTTATTTATTTATTTACTTACTTACTTACTTACACATACAATATGTCAGTGAGTCCAGAACTACCTTTATTCTTTAGCCCATTGCTTCTAGCATGTCTTTTACTGGGAACTTCAAATGAAACTCAATTGTCCAATACAATGTCCAGACACCTAAATAGGGTGAACCTAGTTCAAATGGGACACATTTTGGTAGAAGCACCAGGAATCCAAACCCATCAGCCAAATAAATAATGCTGAATGACATTCTAGTGGTAATTATTTATGACTTGATTCCCTCATATTATTCATAAAACTGCCCACGTCATCTCAAGTATCAAGTCCCACTTTTGCAGAACCCACCTCATATATGTACGTGGAGGTGTATGATGGTGGTCCACTACGTCCAGTAGAAACACATTCTACAAAATGTAGCCAAAAAGTATTGGTCAATGCTAAATGGCTGGAAAACGAGGCTTTAAAACCTCCTGCCAAACGTAGCCCAATCAAGCATGGATGACGCTAATCGAGCACTGCCAGCTTCCTCTGAACAAACGGACTTTTTAAGGTTATTTGCGTCACTCATTTCAAATGAGCTCTGCTGTTCTCTTTAGCCCGAACCGGAACTGGTTGCTCTCCCAAAGCTGATACGGACGAAAGGGTGAAAAGGGAAGCCGAGGATACCTGTAATCCGAGGATTCCTAGAAAGGTTTTTGATTAAACCGATCAAGAATTATGAACCAATTGGAGGATCTTTCACTCACGCAGGATTGGCCTGAGGACAGACTAGGCTGAACTCTTAAGATCAGCAGTCTTTCCATGTACACAGCATGACCGAGGACAGCCACAGCGCTAACAGAGCTAGCAGTGTCCTTTACTCAGACTTGCAGGACAAATTTGTTTGAATCTTGTGGGCCAGTATTTCTACGGATCAGTCCAGTTTCTTCCCTCTCCAATAATACTAGGAGTGTGCGGGAAACAACCTAAACACAGCACACAAATTAACACACTTTTTACGTTGTTAAAGAAGGTCAAGCAGCGTGAGCTTCTGCCCACATTACCACATTTCCTCGCCACAGTCTCCCACCAAAATTCAGAGCGATTGGTCAGCATTTTAAAGAGATCTGTACCAAAGAGTGTTTTCAGGGCATATAAGTTATTTTTTTCAACACACGTTGTTTTCAGTCACTGAGCTGTTTGGGTAAATCACAAAAACCCAACCTTGTATTACTTTAATCACCATCTTGTTTCCTACGATGGAGCACCGTTTTAAAGCAGCTGACAAGCTCACAGCAAGCGCTAGATAGGCCTAAGTACAGCCTCACTACTGCGGGGTTAGTTTACACAGTGTTACAACAAAGACACCTTTAGTAAACAAAGACTAATAAAGTAAATTATGTTTTTTTATTCCATATGTTTACACAGATTTTAAAATATATGATGTTCCTCTACTTTATTAGTATCTTTCAGATGTTAGTATTTTGGCTTTAAGTAAGAATATTAATGAAATTGACAGTAACAGCTGGTATAACTGTAGTTATTCACCAACAATGTTCCATATTTTACTGATGTGTGATGTTTTTTATTTGCTGTCCTTCACTGGACAAACAATACATTTGCCATTGTTTGACACACAGACTCATGTCAGTGTTCATATATAATTTGATGTGTGTTTGTATCGATTGAGCTGTCTGTCTGTCTTATAGATACATAATATATAATGCAGTTTGGTTGGAGAATATATTTGTTTCTTATAATGTAGAATTATATTGAATAACTTTGTTTGCACTAATTCATCAGACTTTTCTAGCAGGTGTTGAACTTACCCATGGGGTGAACTGTAACACTACACTTCCCATCATTTTGGGTGGAACTGTACATGAACGGTAGGTGTTAGAAACAAAGTTCAAGTGTTCAGTTGTAGTGCAGATGTATATGTTGCTTGTATAAAAATATGATTATTCCAACTTAAATATTTTTAAAGTTATTAAACAAAAAACAAAGATTTCAGCTTTAACCCCTTTTTGCAGCCATGGCAAAAATACAGTTTGTAGAGCTTTGTCTTCATAAGTGAGCAGGAAAGGTGAAAAAAAGCTGTTTTTATCATTTAATTATTGACATATATTATTATCTATAAGTGCTATTTGCATCACTCATTGCTCGCAAGCAGCTCAACACAGCACAACATTTCATAACAATGTCCTAGTTAATCTGGTAACAAAATTATGGGGAAAAATATTTTATTTGATTGCTTTTCTGTAAATAATAACTGAGACGATTTTCACCAGGCCACTAGGGGGCCCTAATATAATTAATATAACAAAGATTATGTGTCTATTTAAGATCCTTTTGCTCCTCAGTAGTAAATAAAGCATATCTATCTCTTTTTTCGGTTCAATAAGTTGTATTCCGTTCCACTGGCCAAATGGCCACTAGGGGGCCCAAAGAAAGATGTTAAGGATATAAAGCTATATTTGTGAATATACAGACTCACATACCTTTTACCAATCACGCTGGACCGCTTCTGACAGATGACCCCCACGCTGCCGTCGGAACCCGTATCCAGGGTGATGTCCCATAGCAACGTGTTGCTAGGCGTGGCTGTGCGGAAGGACACACCCTTTTTTACCATGGCCCTAAAACGAAGAATATACGTTGAGAAAAGACATTAAGAACGTATAAGAGCTCTGTGTGTAGCTTAGCGTTTTATGCTGTACCTTAATCTCTGTAAAACTGCTCTGGGATGATTTCTACTGTAAAAGTGCCACACAAATTAAACTGAATAATACTGAACTGGACCAGTTATTACTGGTACCAGTACTCCAATCAGACCTCTCAGCACAATGTATACAGAATTGAACGAGCAGAGGATTACGACTCGTCATACAGCATTATAGATTTTGACAACTGGTAATTTCACACTAAATCCACTGAAACACAGCAGGCTTGTCTAATCAGCTCCAGCTCTAATGCCTTGTGGAGGAGGAGGTTTTGTTTATTCAGTCGTTAATAAACTAACCGTCATAGCTGTTCATGTCTGGTGTGGTTTATCTGAAGGATCATGTCTGGCTTAACACGTTTGTGGGGGTCTAGGTTTAAGCCGAGAATCATAATGAATAGACGGGAGCAGAGCTCATTCACAACAAAGCAATTTCCTGTATTCTGTAAATATACTTAAGCTAACAGGAGGTCAATAAACATGAACAGTCACACAGATAGGAGATCAGATTATGTGCTTATCACTGAGTTTAAACCTAGAATTAAAGGCACATTACTGGATACTGGACAAGTAGAATTGTCTACAATAGGCCACAAATAAGAGAACAGAATAAACACATTATACTTTAAGAAATAAAGGTACTAAACTGTCACTGGGGCTGTGCTCCTCTTGTCACTGGGGTGGGACCCTCAAGGGTACATCTCAGTTCCTTTAGTCAGGGAACATAACTGAACCATAATCCACTGAAATGATATGTTCTAAGCTGTACTGACTCCACACACCCCGTCTCGCCTCCAGGACTTTATTTATATATATCTGTTTAAAACATTTGGTTATGAAAAGGTACAAATACGAACTTTTCACCTGGAAAAACTTATTTAAGGTTCATAATCAGACCTTAAAACCACTGTTGTACCTTTGAGGGAACATTTACATTGTTTGTACTTTTATTAACAAAAAATTCACATGCACAGAACCTTTATTTACCAATATAAACCAGCTGCCTTTCACATTTATATGAATATTTTATGATGAATGGACAAAAAGTAGTGGTCCAAAATTGCTTGGAAAAGAAGTTTTACATTATCATCCATTATACAGTACTGGGCAAAAGTCAGAGACCATTTATTATATTTTCAGTCTAAATGACCATTAAGTACGTATTTGCATTTTTCAGCGCTGGGAAAACAAGCAGGAAACATTTATTTAACAGGAAATTTTCTCAGCAACTAAATACAATATCATTTTAGTATTTAGTGTGTCTCTCTTTACCTTTATTACTTACTACAGCTTCTATTCTTTTCAGGAGACTCACTTTCAGTTTCTCTAGTAAATCTGCAGACACACCTCCAAAGTTCAGTCTTAGAAGCTGGTTGATCGTTTTCTGAAGTAATCAAACACATTCAGTGGTGTTGAGGTCTGGACTCTGGGGTGGTCAGTCCATCGTTCAGCTTCTTTGTTTGATGTGTCCGTCTCCTTTTCTCAGTGAGGTTCTTCTTGACAGCTACACATCCTTTCAGACCCACAGCGCTGAGTCGTCTTCTCACAGTGGAAGGATGGACAGAAACACCTGTGGATGTTTTCAGATCTGAAGCAGCTTGATTTTCTCCTCTCTCTCAGAGATGAAAGCTTTAAGTGCTGTTTATCTGATGGGTATCTGATCGCAGTTTTGGGGTCTACCAGCTCTTCCAGGTAGTTGTTAGGAGGCCCAGGAGCTTCTTGGAAACTCCTGATTTTTTCAATTATATTAATTTGGCTTTCTCCTTCCTTATGCAAGTTATTTTATATTATATTTTATCTCCTCAGAAACATCTCCTGAAAAATGGCTTGCACTTAATGCATGTTTTGACTGGAAATTCAATAAACTAAGTCTGGTGCCTCTGACTTCTATAAAAAATATCATTTTGGGAATATGAGGCTTTGTTCTTTGGGGAAATTTTTTAAATAAAATGTATTTCTCAATTTAATTAAATTTAATTTCCTACATTTCTTCATTATGCTCTAATTCATTTTCTTAAAATGTCCTAGAGAAGAATAACCTGGTTAAAGTCATTTCTTGGCAGATATATCGAGGCCACAAATGCACATATTTCATTCTTCCAGCAAACACAAACAGTGATAGGCACATGAGTTATTTACTCTAATGGCGGGTCTGACCTCCAATGTTTAAAGGATAAGCATTATGAGTATTATCTAATGCTGCATTAAACACTCCAAACAGCAGCAGATACACAGACATACAAATAACATTTTGGTGCAAAGTGCGTCTGACCACGTGCTTGACCCCAGTCAGGCTTTTTTTACATGCTATTAATATACTCTTCATGCCAGCTCAATCCCCCAGACTGTCTTACACCCACTCATATGGGCACTGTCTACTGTACCGCCCAGCCAGGCACTGCCCGCTATAAAAAGCAATACCCTTCACTGCTCTCCATAACTCACACTGTACTGGCACCACCCACTACACCACACTGCTCAGTGACAATACAGCAGTTCTATGAGTGTAAAAATGCTCTGTTCTGAAGATGGAGATTCAACTGCGTCATTGTTTGGAACGTCAATCAGTTATAATGGATATTCAATAATGTATGAACTCATTTTCTGAAATGTAAAAAATGAAATCATAGGTTGGTTTGATCTTATCAAGATATGGTGCACTGAAAATAAATAATAAAGGTCATTTATATTGTCTGCCCTGCACTACTGCATAAATAGAAACTCGAGTTACATTTGTTTATTTAGTGCATTTTCAAAAATAATACTGAATGAAGCCAAAATAATAAAATCGAATCTTAGTGAAACTGGAAAGGTCATGATGAACTGAATCACTGTCTAAAAACTGTAACTGAATCAAACTGAATTGTTGTAAAAGCTAAGATTTTGCAATACAAAGAATCTTGTTGATGCACAGCATCAACATTAAATTGAATCACTGTGGGATTTGAGATTTTAAGAATGCACTGAATTGTCTGCTAAAGAATTTAGCTAAAAGATTGTGAAATGTGCAATTTTGCAATACATGCAATCATTTCAAGAAGAACCAAAACAAACCTTATTCATTATAGTCATTATAAAATCTGAGATTTCATGACACGCTGAATTGTTTGCTAATAAATCATAATCAAATCATGAAAAAAATGATTTACTGATGGACTGAATCAAATTGAAGTGAGATTAAATGAATCATTTACTAAATAATCGTAATCGAATAAATTTGAATCAGGATGAAGAGCTGAGATTTTGCGACACACTGAATCATTTCTTAAATGACTGTAAGTGAATCGAATCACTATGAAATAAGAGATGTAATGATGCATTGAATGAGTTCCTAAAGAACTGTGTGAAATGTGCAATTTTGCAACACATGCCATGATTTCAAGGAGAACCAAAATCAAACTGAGTCAATGTAAATTCTGAGATATCATGACACACTGAATCATTTGCTACAGAATCATAATCAAATCATTGAGAAATTTGAGATTTATTGATGGACTGAATCAAACTGAACTGAGGTGAAATGAATCATTTCCTAAAGAACTGTACTTGAATCAAATCACTATAAAATAAGAGATGTAATGATGCATTGAATGAGTTCCTGAAGAACCGTCCATGTGAATCAAATCACTTCCTAACGAATCATAATTGAATCAATGTGAAATACGGGACTTAATGTTGCCTTGAATCATTTAGCATTTCCTAAAGATTTGTGATTGAATTGGATCATTATGAAATAAGACATGTAATGATGCTTTGAATCATTTTCTAAAGAGCTGTAAATGAATCAAATTGAATCATGTTGAATTTGAGAATCAGGAACAGCCCTAGTATGTGTGTGTGTGTGTGCGTGTGTGTGTGTGTGTGTGTGTGTGTATGTGTGTGGAGGGGACATCAGGCCAAGGATAGAGGGGAACTGGTGCTCATGCAGTGTGAATCCGAAGCTGACAGTGTGGACAGGTAGACCAGTGCTAAAGAAAGGCATGTTAGTGTCCACTGCTTCTGAACCGGACAGCAAATCAATTATAGACACAGTCGCACATCACTCTCACTCAGCCAAGCCTGGGCAGTCAACACTGCACACCCACACTCTGAGAGACGAGCCAAACCTGCTTTATTACCCTGTTAAGAAAGTGAGGAAGTGAATTAGACAGCTATGATTAGAGGCAGCCTTGACCTCTGAGGGTGAAAGATGCCCTCATGGTCAGTCAATGTGCCTCATTGTGCTGGATTCTGTGGATCAGAGGGCTGAGTTTCAAACTCTAAACTAAACTGAATGCGGGTCCGAACTCTCATAACTACACAACTTACTCGTTGCTTTCATAGCAGATACTTAAGTGTTATGGTGAAAATCATCACGGCTGTGATTCGGTCACAATAGATCATCTCAGTCTTATGCTGAAAAAAGTAGTAACGGCAGCTTGGAGTAAATGTTACCATTGTTGTTGCTTAGTGACCCGTGATAAGTGGAATGATGCAGATATGATGAAAAACACATACTGCTGTCAGATATTACAACACTGAAGTTGTTTATGGACTAATATCTCCTATTCTAGTGTATAGGAGTGTGCACTGAGGTTGTTTATGGACTAATATTTTGTGTTCTAGTGTTTAGGAGCGTCTGTTGAGGACGCTTATGGACTAATGTCTCCTATTCTAATGTATAGGACCATTTATTGAGATTGTTTATGGACTAATACCTTGTGCTCTAGTATATAGGAGTGTCTGTTGAAGCTTTTTAAAGACTAATATCTCCTATTATAGTGTATAAGAGTGTTTATTGAGGTTATTTATGGACTGATATCTCCTATTCTAGTGTATAAAAGTGTTTATTGAGGTTGTTTATGGACTAATATCTCCTATCGTAGTGTATAAGAGTGTTTACTTAGGTTGTATATGGACTAATATCTCCTATTCTAG